CACCATGACTGTGCAACATTGTATTAACTGTCTGAATACTGCCTTAAAGATAACTAATAAGCACTAGAGTGCAAGGCTGTCTGAAGCATGTGAAAACATTTGAATTTTTTTCCAATAAATCACCCAGCTGCTAATCCTTTTGAGTTTCTCATTCCTTAATGAAGTAACAATCATTTTTATTAGATTTTTGTTCTAAAAGGTCAGTTTCTGTTTTATGATTTTCAATGAATTGACCTCAACTTAAGGTGATAACATCATCTCTATTTTTTTCTTCAAAACTTTACTACACACTTTTTATAGTTTTTACATTAAACATGTTTTTTTTTTGTTACCCAGAGTGTCACTCACCTCTTTAGAATTGACCTCAACTTAAGGTGATAACATCATCTCTATTTTTTCTTCAAAACTTTACTACACACTTTTTATAGTTTTTACATTAAATATGTTTTTTTTGTTACCCAGTGTGTCACTCACCTCTTTAGAAATTATTGGGATTTTTTTTTTGTTAATCAACTTAGAGTTCGCATATAAATTCTCATTGACTTCCATTGTATCTGAGCTCTGAGATAAATAGACGCCAAGCTGTACAAATATTTGCCATGGACAAATTGACTATGCCACAAGGACAGACACCAACAATATAAAAAATAAGCACTATTAATGACATCTTAATTTTAATAAATTGTTCCTATAGGACAAACACCTTATATCTCTCCAAGAATGCAACTTTTCAGGACTGTTCATTTTAACACTTTCCATTTAGCCATTGAACACAGCCAGGTGATTTGTTGTCGAGGTTGGTTTATGCAAAAATATGAAAATGATCAAATGGAGCAACAAGGATTTCTATCCAACACTAATAATGTTTGGGTAGTAAATGTAAAAGGAGAAAAATGAGAGAAAAGAGACAGCTGTGGACACAATGTTGGCTGTTAAAAAGACATCGAACACAACAAACATTCACATATGCATATATACATACAACCATGTTTAAAATGTCAATTTTATTCCAATTCAATATAAATTTGCAGCACTATGTTGTCCTCAGTAATGTCATCAAAAAAGAATAGCCCCTTCTGTCATTTAAGTACCCAGACTCATTTAGATTATTACAAATGTCACAATTTAATATTGGACATTATAGAACAAAGTGAATTTCAAATATTTCTTCAGACTTTTTTTAAATTTCTTCATTTAAAAAAGTGCTGAATAAATTAAGGTATGCATGAACACAGCATTGGACACAACGTGGYCATTCAATCCCTCTAATTTCCTCAGCAGATATTGCTCCCCTCCTTTATTATTATGAGCGCCTGAGGGTGGCGCCAAATGAATAAACAGTGGCCAAGCGTGTACCCATTTCAGGCCACTCATACATGTAATGCATATCAACAAGTAAACTGTCAGTGCGTGGCTACTTGTTACATCAAATTTAGTCACGGCTGCAGGGGCGCTGATCATGGTWTAGTTGTAATTGGAAGAAATAAATAATAATAAAAACGATTAGGTCGAGCAGTGATTGCGTGATGCGCTCATTTCATAAGGTGCGCCCCCCACCCCCTTTCTGTCTGAGGTGACCCAGTTTGATGAGATATTCTTAAAATAAAGGAATCACACTTTTTTTTTTTCAGATTAGGCAATAAAGTGATGTTGAGTGTGAASTTGCTGCGGTGGATGGGAGCCCCACCTCCTCCCACGCTCCGATGAGTATGGTGAGAGACGAGAGAGAAAGAGAGGGAGAGAGAGAGGGAAGGGAGGAGGGGAGAGAGCAACTAACCTAGCCACAGTATCTCACCACTTGCTCTCTGGAAAATGCTTCACGTGGGCTCCTTGTGCAGCCGCTCGCTTTTACGCAGCAGAGATGACATTTTCTGCTGCCGCCGTTCAGCCAGTGCGTCTTTAGAGTGCGCTTCATCCTAAGCTGCTCCAATCAAACTGGATCAACTTGGACTGAAAAAAATAAAGGGGGGAAGACATTTTGGCAAGGATCAGTTCTCTTTTTTTATTTTACCCCTTTCTTTTTTGATGATTGGGAATGTGGCCCACCGTGGGGGACATCATCACTACGGAGTGAGAAGCTTCATTTTCCAGCTGTGTTTTTAAGAAATCGGAAAACTGTTATTTAACTTCCCGCTGACAGAAGGAGAGAGGAGGAAAGAGAGAAAAAAYGAGCTGTCTGATCTGCTACATCCACCAGACGACAGCGGGGGGGCACAGGACTCTGAATCTTTGGTGAAGAAAGTTCTCCATGCTCCTGTCAGTGGATGTTTTTGTGACGTGATTCTGCCTCGGGGAGCAGCGGTGGACTGATCAGCTGTGCGCGCTCACACACACGACTCTCTGGCTCAGGTACTAAACAAATACAATCAGAAAGTTGTTGTTTTCTATCTGGATTGTTCTGMTTGGGGGGTATATTTCGTCGTGGTAAGAGTGAAGTTTATTTTTTTTCTTCTATCTGGAGGCTTTTTATCTTTCCATCRACCACAAGTTGCTCAGCAGTGGAGCAGACAGCATGAACGTAGCAGCTGCTAGGTGTTACAGGTTGATAGGATACTGTTGTGGAGAGGCAACAGTCCAGATATGTCAGCCACGGAGCGAATCCGGGCGCCTGATTGATTAGACGATGCATTTCAATTAAGACACATCCGAGGCGCGCGGAGCTCCTGCCTCCTCCGCTGACTGATGGCATGAAGTCATTAAAGGCTGCATATCAGAGCACTTGAGCGACAATTCGAGCTGCCCTCGCGACGATCGGCTGATTGCATTTTATAATACCATCACGGTTCTGTGAAGCAGAAAATATGATCCAATTCTCCTTATATTTTCCCCCACAAACACCACGCTAATGCTATTTTGTGAGTCTTAAATCGGCGCTCTTGCTCAGTTTTCTTCGCAAATGGCCGTGACGTAACCACTTAATAACTATAGTCGCCACTTTTAAAAACATTATTATACGCACTTCTTCGCTAAGGGGGAGACTGGCGCTCGTAATTGGAGGAAGAAATCTTTGATCATCTCTCTCTCTCTCTCTCTCTCTCTCTCTCTCTCTCTCTCTCTCTCTCTCTCTCTCTTTTTCTCTGGGGTGTTGTTCCTTCGCCACTCCGCCGCCGACCACCAGGCACATTTTTAATAGTCTGTTCTACATAGTGATGTGGCTCCAAGTTCCCCACATGCACGGAAAGGCGAGGCTTCAAGGGTCATCACAATAAAGCAGATCAAAAACAGGCTACTTGTACCTCCTCACCATGTCAAAGACAAAACAATATTTAATGGGTTGGCTATTAGCTGCAGGCATAGGAAAAAAAAGTAACTCCACCCGATATGCATAGGGTTTTCCATGGGAAGACATTTGGGAATAGTTTGAAATGCAAAGGACTTGGTCGACTCCATAGGTTTCTGTGGCAGCAAAACAAAACAAGCCCAGATCATCATCTCTCTACCTTCATGCTTGATGATTGCTGTGATGAATGTGTGCTGATGCTGTGTTTAGCACTGTGCCTTATGGTCAAATATATTTAATTTGATCTCATCTGTTAAAACTTTATTGTTCCAGTTTTGTGGTTATTTCTATCACAACTTTGGAACTTAGCTATGTCATACTGCCGAAAACAAAACTATATATATA